CTAAATAACAAAACTGCTCTTTATTGAATACATGTACTATCTTGTCCACTAGCCTGCAATCCTCCTATCAACATCAGGAGCTCACATCTAATCTTAGTTACTTGGCCCTCCTCGCCCCGTACACTATTTTTAAACATTTTGGTCCTTCGACCCGGATAGTGGAGACTAGTGCATTCAATCAGTATTAGCATATCAAGACAAGGTAAAATAACATTAATCACATTGCATCAAAAACTATAACGACGTAAGAAAATCGATCAAGTAAGTAATTCATAAGCTCCTTTCTCTAATCAATACTACGTAATGTCTCCAGTCGGGATAGGACAAACCAAGGAAAGGGATGCTGAAGCATCAACTCTATTAGAAAGTACCAGTCGTGTAACCCGTAGCGGTACTAAGGAAAAAACACCAGTTGAACTCACTGTCAAGGCCACAGGTCAGGCCATTCGGATCACAGCAATAAAAAATTTAGTCATAAAGCTTCCCTCGTCTCACACAGAAACCTCACTCGAGGAGGTCAAGGGCATCAAGGAATTAATCGATGACTTTCACAATGCTTTTACATGGGAATACAGCTACATGGAACAAACATGGCCAGCAGCACTAATTAACAATGACTATTTTATAAACAATGTACAAATAGAAGAGCTTGAAATCTATTCAAATGCGCATATCACAATTAGCAAGCTTCTTCACAGCATTAACGAAACGAGAAACTCAAATACAAGACAACCCGAGAGTGCGAATTCAACTAATCAAAATAATGATGCAATAAATTTACCTAACGTTCCTATTCCCAAATTTTCAGGTGACTACTTAGCATGGCCAATGTTCAGAGACCTATTTCAATCAATTGTATTAGATAATAAAACAATAAGCGAGGTAAAAAAGTTTCATTACCTCAGAGAATCATTGGTGGTATCAGCTGCAAGGACCGTTTCCGGACTTGCACTACAAAAAGATTCACTCCCAATTGCCTGGAGAAACCTGACAAATCGCTATGACAACCTTCAACAGGCAATGAAGTACTATCTACACAAATTACTCACCACCTCAGCTACAATTAAGAAAACACCTCGAGAAATCGAGGAACTGGTGAGTGATGCAAGCGACCTTCTAAGCAGACTGCGCTTACTAGACAAGGCCATAGACGTATGGGAGTGCCTAATCATACATCATGTCATCAAGCAACTTGATGACACCACAAAGACACAATGGGAACGCACACTAGGCGATTCACCAGAGCACCCGAAATTCGAACAACTGAAAACATTCCTCATGTCCCAGGTGACAGCTCTCAAGGGACTGAAATATCAAGAGAGGTAAACACACCCAACCAAAACGAACCCACCAAAGAAAAGAACAGTAAAGGCCCATCAGTCATCAATCAAGACAGACCTCGAACAAAAACAAGCAGGTACGAAACAAAATGACATCTGCATCTGTTGTCAAAAGGATCACAAATTGTTCGCGTGTCCAACTTTTAAGGAAATGAAAACAGATGGCAGAAAAACTTCATAACCAAGCACAAGTTATGCGTCAATTGCCTTAAACGACACATAAATTGAGTGCAAAAGTAAATTCAGCTGTATACAGTGCCACAAGAAGCATCATACCCTACTCCATACAGATAGTAACGAGAACTCGACCACAAGCAGTAATACTTCCTCAGCTAACCTTTCATGAAATGAAGGTACAATCGTCAAAACAACAGGGTCAAATACCGTCAACAGGGTCAAGTTCCATAACGACTCTTCTAGCTACTGCGCTAGCAAAAATCCATTCGACAATAACAACAGCACAAGCTCGTCTACTAATCAACACAGGATCAGAGGTTGCATTCGTATTAGAAAATCTAGTAAGAAAATTTAAACTATCACGTCATCGCTCCATTCTACATGTACACGGAATTGGAGGAACACTATCAACTCAAGCACAAGGTGCAGTATCTCTCAATCTACAATCAATTTATATGAATTCCTCTGTTACAGTTACAGCTCATATTCTAAAAACGCTAACGACAATGCTTCCATCCTTCAAAACTTCACACCAAACATGGCCACACTTGCATGGTCTAACATTAGCCGACCCAGAATATCTCACACCTAGATCAATAGACATTGTGCTAGGAGCAGATGTTATACGGACAAATCATTATGCCCGACATTTTTGGATGGTTGGTTCTGGGACTTGTCAATCTAACAAACAACATGACGTCAGTAGTAGTCTGCACATCCATACAAGAAGTAGAAGAAAATCTACAAGAATTACTAACAAAAGGAGACGAACACCAATACACACCAGACGAGCAGTGGTGTGAAGACCATTTTAAACAAACTCATACACGACATTGGACAGGAAGATACATAGTACGAATTCCACTTAGGAAACCTATTGAACTTCTTGGAAACTCTTATAACACTGCTCACCAATGTTTACAAAGTCTATTAAGGCGACTTTCAAGGGACGAAAACTATCGTCATGAATATACACAATTCATGACAGAATATGAGAATCTAAACCACATGAAAAGGACACCCACTGGCACCCAGTCAAAAATACAATACTACTTACCTCATTATGGCGTACTTAAACCAGACAGCTCCACCACAAAATTGCCAGTTGTCTTCAACGGCTCCAGCCCGCCAACCTCAGGAAAATCACTCAACGATCTCATGCACACTGGAGCCAATTTAAACAAGGAAATCTCAGATGTTCTACTCTGGATGCGCCAACACAGATGCCTGTTTGCCACAGACATCACAAAAATGTA